TCTTTCGGAGTCACCAAGCGGCAGAATGGCTTTAGTACAATCAGGCAATTAGACCAACACTGTGCCACTTTCAACTTTGCTCGGTGCGCTCACTCACTCTCTCCTCTGTTTTATTCTTCCCCTCGCTACACCGACCACTCCCAAAGGTGACGCCCACTACCGCCTCCCCTGCTCCTCACACATACTGCCTAAAAGCTCTGGATACCCAGGGAATGCTTCCTCCTTTTCCTCAATCGCCCGTCCCAACACACAGAGCAGTTGCAGACCAGTCCGTAAAGCGCCTTCCTCGCTGCCTCCCTCTGTCACTGTTTCACTTCTTAATGCCTAACTTCATCCCTCTCGCTCTCCTCCTGTTTCCCCACCGACCTCGCCTCCTTCTCTCTTGATAGCCTTGTTATCATTATTGTCTGCTCGCCTACTTAAAAGCTTTTCAGAGTTTTTGGTCCTCCTCCACTTATGATGGGATGGCAGAGTCGGGCTCCTACCCTCCAGTGACCCTGGAAGAGCGGATCTGAGGGGCAGGCGATGTGATGGGGGACAAAAAGTAGCACGCCAGTGTAGCCTGGGTCACAGCAGTGAAGTTTAAACTCACAAACTTGACACTTTGACTACAAAGACAAATGGGAGAACGTGTCTTTGTTATCAGTGAGATGTCCTTGTAGTCTTGCCTCCTAACACCATGAGCATTTGCTCCTGGAGTATTAGAAGGGTTTTAGAGTCACGCCACCAGACTATGTGTCGGTAAGGTTTCTCATATTTCACATGCTGCTGTTCTTTTCCAGAGCAACTTACAGCACTGCTCAGCATTCATGAATAAAACACCATCTTCAGTTCAAGTAAGATTTCACAGCAATCAAATAATCCCACTGATAAGCTGATCAAATATGACCATAAAAGCAGACGCACAACCCTGTTTCTGCTTCCGTCTAATGTTATCATCTCTTTTCATTTCAGACATTTTGAAACGTGTTCTTCTGTCACACGGGGAGAAAAAAAAAAATCGAGTCAAGCTGCATATCAAGCAAGAAGCATATTATATCTTAGGAATCATGTAATCCATAGTTTGTGTTTAAATAGTGATGAAGATGAAAGTAGTAGGAAATGTATCTGTTCATTAACATGCATGCTAGTCAGACATCCCTGTTTAAAGATTGAGAGGGATAATCACTCAAGATGTCAGGGAGGAATGAACAGCAGACTGATGTCACCTCTATGCCTGAGTATCTCCAGTGGTTTTTATTTCTCTCCGTCTTCCACTAGAGTTGGGCGATATGTTAGAATTTCCATCTGGCCACGGTCGGCCCAACAACCGGCGATTGCTGATTATTTTGGCATGCGGGTGAGCTGCTGGGATTGTATCCCGGCTGGGGAAGGGCCTTTCTGTGTGGAGTTGCCTTTTTTTTTTTTTCTCCTCTGGAAGACGTCAGTTTCCTACATGTGCTCCAGTTTTCCCCGCCATCAAAAACATGTATGTTAAGCTAATTCTCCTGTCAATGCCCTTGACCAAGGCACTGGGTTAGAACTGGAGCTGGTCCCCGGACGCTGCACAGTGGCTGTCCATTGCTCCTAACGCTTAGGATGGGTTGCAGAGAACAAATTTCCCTACGGGGATCAATAAAGGATAACTTAACTTAAACCAGGCCTTAGCACAAAGCCCATTTTAGATATTTCTAAGTATTGTATGTACCCACTTTTTACACTTCTCTCTACCCCAATCACATACTGTTTTCAGGAATTACACACTTTCTGTTTTACTGTATATTATTTTAAAATATAATGCTGTAAATTAACTCTCCTTTAGTTGCATATTGCATCGTATTAACTACTCAGATTTGGTTGTATTAGCAGCCCTTTAGTACAAAGGGTACTTTAAGGTTTTTAGGCTTACATTTCTAGCAGCAAAATCATAATTTGAAAGAGTTTAATACCAATTTAATATGTCGAAAGCGAACGGGGAAATGTATGTCAGGGTGAAAATGAGAGCAGCTAAGATCGTGTGTCAGGAATCAAATATGAACACAGATTCCTTTCTAACATGTTGAAAAAGCAATGAAGTGTAGTGAGTGAGGGCGGTGAGTAATACACATGTTCACGTGTTCAATGGCTGAGAGGGTTAATCACTCAGCAAGTGAGAGTGGAATAATTGTCGTTGGAGAGACGAGAGCAGCTTCTTCATCTTAACTTCTGTGTCTTTCTCTGACCATTTCTTTGAGCTCTTTTGCTAACTCGTCCTCCCCTTCCTTCCTCCTGTCTCCCACCCATCTAGCTTCTACATATTTATGTCCCCAGGCTCAATGCAAAGTCATTTAGCTGTAATGTATGAACTGTGTTAAATAAGTGAAGTAGCAGGAGGCCAATTTCAACCCACCAGACTCAGTGGTGGAATGTGGGCAAGCATTTCCTGACATAAATGTGAGGCTGAATGAATAAATAAATCAACGATTGTGGTGGAAGAACTTCTCTATCATCAGGGTCTGACAACTGGACCAAAGCATCCGGGAGTTGTGATGGATTCATCACCAGTTCCCTTGTTGATTTTTTTTTTTTGGGGGGCAGATTTTAATTACTTTGATATAATAATTTAAAATGTTGCCAAGTGAATTATACTCAAATGGAGAAGTGTGCAGTAGGACATAAATGCTCCAGATTATTTAGGATGTATTTTAAGTGGTCACAAACATAAATAATAAAAACCCACAACCGACATCGACATCCATGACCTTTTCACTAACCAGGCTTCATTCAGCCCACCTCAGCTCCACCCATGCTCCACATCTTTGCCCATTTTGGGATAAAGCTGCGAGCCGGCGGAGTCAGGACTGCCAAGATGGTGACGGCCAGGGCCACCCTGTATCGTGCTTTTTAAGAGTAGTACACCTGAATAATATGATCATACACCATGTGGGCTAAGAATTTAGAAATACATTTTTTGCCAAACAAAACAACCTTCTGTTGCTTGAACATTAAACCGGCGCCTGACTATTTAATGATGAAACATGCAGGCATACATACAATATACAGTGTGTAGTGTGTCCTTGCCTGATGTATTGGTGTGTGTTGTGTGTGTGTGTGTGGAAAGAGTGTGAGGAGATGCATATAACGTGCTGTGGCTCTGGAGTTGGACGTGAGTGAGTGAGTATCTCCCTGGCTGACGCAGCAATAGAAGTCCGATTACTATCCAGGGGTTCTTTAAACTTAACGCGTTTCACTTCCTCCAACCTCGTACAGGAAATTTAAAAGAAGTGGCCTGTGAGGCTTTTACCAGGACACACACCACACACAACACACACACACACACACACACACACACACACACCCACACAACACACAACACCACACACACACACACACACACACACACACACCACACACACACACACACACACACACAGCCATCTATCGGGAGCACCCAAGCGGGCAGAATGGCTTTAGGTTACAATCAGGACAATTAGACCAACACTGTGCCACTTTCAACTTTGCTCGGTGCGCTCACTCACTCTCTTCCTCTGTTTTATTCACTTCCCCCTCGCTACACGACCACTCCCAAAGGTGACGGCCCACTACCGCCTACCCCTGCTCCTCACACATACGTGCCTAAAAGGCTCTGGATACCCAGGGGAATGCTTCTCCTTTTCCTCAATCGCCCATCCCAAGCACCACAAACGCAGTTGCAGACAGTCCGTAAAGCGCCTTCCTGACTGCCTCCCTCTGGTCACTGTTTCCACTTCTTAATGCCTAACTTCATACCCCTCGCTCTCCTCCGTTTCCCACCGACCCGCCTCCTTCTCTCTTCGATAGCCTTGCTTATCATATTGTCTGCTCGCCTACTTAAAAAGCTTTCAAGAGTTTTTGTCCTTCCTCCACTGTATGATGGGATGGCAGAGTCGGGCTCCTTACCCTCCAGTGACCCTGAAGAGCGGATCTAGGCAGGCGATGTTGGATGGGGGACAAATAAAGTAGCACGTCCAGTCGTAGCCTTGGCTCACAGCAGTGAAGTTTTTTTAAACTCCACAAACCTTGGACACTTTTGACTACAAAGACAAATGTGGTAGAACGTGTCTGGGTAAAAGCCCGCCAACTTGGATGAACATTACAATCATTGATCTATACATACAGTTGATTAGATGCGGTGAGAGATACATATAGCAACCTAAAAAACTCTTATTGTAGAGGTCATTAATGAGCGTCCATTGTACCGATCGTGAGCATTGTCTACATGTCTATCGACTCAGTCTGCAGACATTTATCCTTAGTCGAATCAAGATAAAGGTCATTTTACAAATAATCCTTGCATCATCGACATGCCTGTTACACTCTACTTCAGAGCAACTCTACAGCATACTCGCCTCAGCATTCATTGAATATAACATATATCTCTTGTCTCAAAGTTCCAACAAGGTTATATACAGATTTTACACGTCCTTATACTCCCAAATTGATATCTCTCCCTACACTAGAATACATAGCTCATATGCACAAAATATGACCATAAAAGAGCAGTAACGCTAAGCATAACCCTGATCTTGCTTCCTATCATTGAAAATAGTTCTACTGAGAAATACATCTTTTCCCTTCATGACATTTTATAGACCAGAAGTCTGCTTACTGTCTCTTACCAGGGCAGAGGACCAAACTTCATATAAAGAGTTGGACCCAAGCGTGTCAGACTGCTAATGCCTCATGCCACAGAGCCAGAAAGTCGATTGGACCTAACTGTCTATACTCATCTACAAGGGTGCTCGACCTGTGTCTTGTGTATTGCTCACAATCAGTTGACTGGATGCTTTGGAGCCTGAATGGCTTCTGGAATACAATTTAGGTGGAAGCATGCTTATGGCAGATGTCTCTGTCATTAACATAAGCTCGTAAAGCCCTATGCTTATGTACAATCGTCTACCATTGTCTCTCATAAGGAGGTATTCTTTGCGCGCGCGCGACTAGATCGAGGATCCACGATGTACTCTCGGAGGTTTGGTAGGTGCAATGTGAGAGATCACAGACAGAATTGCAAAGCTGATACACTCTCTCTCTGCCTGCCATCCCAAATTATGGTTTAATTTCTCTGCTCCGGTATCTTTCAATCCTCTGCGGCGCGCGGAGAGAGAGCTAAAATGGTCTGTCGGCTCAGGGGAGCCATGCTCTGTCTGTGTTGAGACTTTCCTCCATCTGGCCTATATAACGGTCGGCCCAACACTTCATGGCAGAATATGACATGGATATATTTTAGGCTAGTTGCGTGGCATTGAGCTGCTGGGATTTTGAACTTCTTACCCGGCTAGGGAAGGAAGGAGCCGTGTTGTGTGGTCTCTCTTTTTGTATTTTCTCTTTCCTAACTCTCTAGAGAAAAGACGTCAGATTCTTGGCGCTCTTCTATCATGTCGCGTTGGTGCTCTCCCCGCCATTACATAAATACTAAATAGATGTCCGAGGCTCATCTTGACAAGGACTAAATATGCCCCTGATCAAATTGCCTCTCTCTCACACTTGACCGCAAGGAGCGTCGGATATGGCATGTAGAACTGTAAGGGAAGCATCTTAGATCCTCTGGATGCGCGTGCGGACAAGGTGGCTGTATCTCTTAAACGCTACTCAGGATGTGTGTTCGCAGTGAGACAAATTATTTCTCACTACGGGGAATCTAAACTAACAACAAGCTATCTTACACTTTCTTCTGCACTCCTTTACACAGCGGCCGTGTTGAGCAAAACTGCAAAAGCCACGCATCTTATCTAATTGACTGAGAGATTTGGATATGAAAAGTCAATGTGGCGACCCCCCACTTTGCCTATTCAACACACGATCTCTTGCTCATGCGCTCTCTCTATTATGGATCAACCAGTGGAGGGCTGTATTTCGTAGGCGAGAGGTTATCACCCTATGCGTAGTACTGTCTAAGTTCGATATATTATTTGTTATAAAATGACAGCAGTTCTAGAACTGTAGATAAAGATAGATATTCTTGTTCTCTCTGTCTTAGTATGCCAATCACTGTGGCTCTCGCCTCTCTCGCTCTCCTCTTAGTCGAGCCCCATTTAAGTAGAGTACCTACATAAAGAGTGTACGTTTTTATGAGACGGTATGTTTTAGGGCTTAACATTTCTATAGCAGTGCGAGCAATGTAGAATGCAACTAATGTAATGATAGAGCTTTGTTTACGGTCTTTTTTTATACTGCACATGACTCGAAAAGGAACGGGGAAAATTGTTACACTCTCTCACGAAGGTGTGTGTGGAAAAATGAGGAGCAGCTAACACGCATCGTTGTGTCAGGAATCACATTCATAAAATATGCTGTGCATACCAACACAAGATATACCGGTGTGGCTTTAATAAACATCTGATTGCAAAAGCAGAGTCGAAGGGTCAATGTAATGAGTGCAGTGGAAGCATATGCTGCCTTTCAGGTAGTTATGCCGGTAAAAGATTTAGAACATTTTACAACATAGATATGCTCCTGTTCTATAATGGCCGAGCACACCGATTTTAACTCATGCAGTATTGCAAGGACGCTGCGCAGGACCAATAATGTAATTGATGCTGCTATGGAAGTGGGAACGCGCAACGAGACAAACCCTTACTTCCATGGTCAGGCAGCGGTCAACTTTTTGTCTCTCTGGACCATATTCTTGAGCTCTTCTTGCTAATCTCTCACTCTCTCACGTTCCTCTCGCTCTCCCACCAATTTTCTCTAAGTCATAGCTCAATTTACTATTAACTTTAAGCTGATCAGGCTCGCCACAGTATCTCTCTATATGTCACACATCTTTTATCTTGTTAAATAGCTATGAACTGTGTGATCTAAAATATAAGCGATGTGTGTATATAGATAGCATATGGCGAGGCCATTTGCAAACCACCATTCACGCGGTCGAAGACAAGAGTGGTGGCGACAACGAACCCGACGAGTTGACACATTTCACATAGGAACTATAAAAAAATCGCTTAGCTATGGTCGAAATAAATAATCAACGATTGTGTGGAAGAACTTTCTATGCGGGCGGTCACAAAGGGTCTGAAACAACTGAACACCAAAAATCTGAGAGTGAGTGCATCGAAGAGGTTGGCGGCGATTACACACTCTAGTGTACCCTTGTGGTATTCATATATTGGATTTTTCTCTTTTTATAGGGTGTGCGCGTGATTATTAATTCTAACATCCTTCGATCCTCAATAAATGCTGGACTATTGGTCTGGTCTCCATTCAATGTTGCCAAAGCTAAGAAATACTAGAGAGTTAACCTACAAAATGATAGAGACAAGTGCTGAGTGGTACGAGAATTCAAAATACTAATGTCTCAAAGTTAGCTACCACTTGGCCGCATTAGCCGGCTTATCCTCCTGACCGGATCGGGTATTTTAAGAGTGGTCACAAACATACAATGGCAAACCTAAGTACCCCAATGACCAAACTCGCGCGAGAGGCGACAGCGCAGGAACGTGCACATAGAGAAATCGCTATATCGGACAGCTCTCTAACACGCTCTCTCTCTCAGCCCCCGACTTTGCGCTCCCACGCCTCTTATATTGGGCCGGGAGCCTCGATCAGCTCTTATATACGCCCTCCGCATTCTCTCGTCGCATTATATAGGAGCATGCTCTAGCAGCCCTGCGCGCGGCGCGTGCATGCGCAACGAGCGGATGCGTCGCCGCATACATATGTCTGAGACTCTAGGGGCGTGACTGGTCTCTCTAAGAGCACGAGGCCAGGGGCGAGACCACAAAGAAGCTCTCACAGTTGCCGCGGCAGCATGAGTCGCGTGTGAGCGTGCGGCTCAAGTCTACGGACAACATTTTTATTTATGGGAGCGAGGTCCTATCGCTCCTACGCTGAGATATTGTGTCGGCCTTATTTGCACAGTCAGCGCTACGCTCCAAGTCTTGCTACACCACAACACTACAGACGCTTAGATAATGTTCCGCCGCCCCGCGCGCGCTCTCCACCTGCTTAAGTCAGCAAGCCTCGTGTACGTAACAACGGATCTACAGCTGGTTTGTAGCAGTCATAACTGCGTTTGGGCTATACACAGCGCTCTGCGATAAGCACTTCACACTGCCAAACCCACTATGTTATGATGACTAGGAATTTATCTTCAATTTCACTGTGAGAGCATCTTGCCGTCGTTCTGATCTCTCTGAGGGTGGGTGCGATGGGTGTGCGTGGTAGCCTAGTGTGAGTACTCTGCAAAGGTGTATTAGATATGCTTGAATCTCTCGTTGTCTGTGTGTGGTCGCAGATTGGGGAGTTTTTTAGATTTGTAGTGCTTTGGTGTGCAGGGCTTTGTTTCGGGTTTGGCGACCTCAGCAGAAAAGCGTTTTCCCAGTATGATATGTATGGAGTTGTTCTGCCCCACTTCTGTGGGACGTTGGTTAAAGCGACAAAAAATAAAATCATATATCATTTAATATTAATATTACGATATAAGTACATGCTGTAAGATAGATCAGGTGTGGGTGCGGTTCAGTTTAGTTGTATATTGCGGTCTCGCTAGTTTGTCTGATGGTGATAGTGTGTGTGGTTATGTCTGTTGTGTGCATGTAGAGTGTTTCTTCTCTCCCCTGAGGCGTTCAAACATCAATACTTCGCTATAGCTTTTATGCATGTATGTGTCTTTCTAGCCAATATCTGGAATCTCTTCTGTTCTTCGACAAGACAAAGTTGCATCCTTTTACCGCGAGATAGTTCTATGGTTTACATCAGTGCAACATATGTGAGTTATAGCTTATCCTCGCGCGAAAGCAGAGCGTCACCGTAGCTGACCTCTGCCAACCATAATCTTGCCCATATTCTTGATATCACGCGTGTACGTATCATTGTCAATCAATCTCTCACCCGTCTTTTCAGTGGCAATGTGGAGTCAGCAGTGGGAGTTTGTTTGGAGGTGGAAGGAGGGAAACGCAGTCTCTACTTGCGATCTTATAATGCTCAGGCCAACTTACTAGACAAAAAACCAACTGAAACCCTGTACCAATGCTTGTCTTCAGAATAAAAGGTTTGTGAAAAAAAACAATGACAAAAGCCATAGAACAAGATGTAAGAACACCACACACACACACAACACACACATCACACACACACACACCACACACAACACACACACACCACACACACACACACACAAACAACTATACATGTATTATAGAAATAAAATACAAGCAAAATGACTCATTTAAAAGAGATGAGTATAAAGAATGTCCAATCCTGTCCTAAAATGGTTGTTTTTGCAGTTGAGTGCTATGGCAGATGCGGCTAGACCAAACCAGTTTGACTGCTACAAACCAGCTGTAGACCTTCTTCTACCAGCTGCTGGATAATGGACAACAGTCGAGGACGCCAAGTTCATGCTGGCTGTGAGTATAAGTGTTGTGTGTGTGTGTAATAGCTGTATGCCAGGAGAGCCGACACATATCTGTGTAAAAGCATAGACTGTATAATTAAAAAATGTCCGTAGACTTCACGACGTCACCCATAGGTTTCCGAAGAATCGGT